TGACTTTTTTCCGTCACTGAAGGAGGCCGTCCTTCCTCTGACCAATTCAAACCACAGAAAAAAGCAACATCTCAGGAAAAAGGTAAAAGAGGTCAAATGTTTGTGGTGTCTGGCTGATTTAAACTAAGAATTTGCATTGTGTTGACATTTCATCTTTTCACCATCCTTTCCCCCATTCATTAATACTTACTACAGTTTTATTCCCGTACAAAAGCTAGACTTACCAAGCTTAGCAAGCTTTTTTGCTGGTGCAATGTTTGCACCTGTTTTTTCTAAAAGGAATGAAAGGGAGAGATTAGAGAGTTCATCACTAGAAAAATACTTAAGATTGAGAATTTTAGACGGTAAGGATTATAATCTGTAAATCAATACATCAAGAATAATCAAATACATCAAGAAGAAATTCAATTTTGAATGTCCAACACAAATGCAACTTCGTTATAACATACATTAGCAAAAACAAATCTTCTGAATCTTCTGATCATCTTCTGAACTTTTGTTAAACCAACTACACTGACTGACTTCCTTTTTTATAAGAGTTTCGCTTCTACGAGCAGATCATTTCCTCACACTACCGCAAACTTTTCTCACCGTGTTTTATAGTGAACTTCTATCTTAATAGAGATGATCTATTTCTTTCAATGTTGTGTTGACACTATGCATAAAGAACAAACAAAAAAAAAAAACCTCAGAGTAAAGGATGTCTACATAAAAGTGAAATGAATGGGCACAGTGTTCTAGGCAAATCTCAAGCACTGTCACATGACTCTTCAATACGACTCCCTACTCTCCCTTTCTGGAATTCCCTTTAAGGCAGATTCACTCAGACACACTCTCTAAAATCACAACATAATAATGGAACATTACATCAGAAAAAAATGCTAAAAAAAAATATGATGCTTGAAATTTGTGGTTTGGTCTTTACAACTAAACTGTCAATCATCAATACAAAATACAATGCATCCAAATAAGTGCTGTCTTGATCTATTATTGATCTACCGTCACATCGTTTTATAATGCAGTTTTATGGAGGGTGATTACCATGAAAACAGTGAACATTTGAAACTTTAAAAATTCTATAAAATTAAATTGAAGGATTCAGGTGAAATGCAGGCGCAGATGTTGATTTCAGCCGTGAAAGGATTGTTTCACCTTTGTTGAAGCGGAACAGGCTGACGAAGGAGCTGTAGGCGGAGCGCAGCGGTGGCTCATCCTGCTCGGGGGTCAGGGGTTTGAAGTGTGTCAGATGGGAGGGACTGGTGGGCGAAGGAGGCGGCTCCGAACTCCAGTCCATCACAGAGGACGAGGAGGAAGCCTTGTCATCAGCAGCCATGTCACTGCCCCTGCAGACATTCAAAACCAAATCACTACAAAATACACTTGTTTAAAAAATTTACATTGAATTACAGGGTGTCTGCAGGGTCTTAAAAAGTCTTAAAATTACTTAAATCTCAAAATCACAATTTTAGGTTTTAAAAACCCTTAAATGTACTTAAATATTGTGTTGTAGGTCTTAAATATTTTTTTAACTGGTCTTAATTTTACTTTGTTCATGTATTGCTAGCCAATGTGGCCAACACCATCCATTCTCCAACAATCCATCTCAATAAAACTTTTTATTTACGAAGGTCATTTTTAACTATTTACCATTAATTATTTTCCTTCCAATAACATTTGTTTAAAGGTTCTCCATGTATTTACTGCTGAGGCCACCAAACTTGCCAGATGGTTGTGCATACATATAGTTTATTAAAAACTTTTAAACATTGGTTCTTTTTTGATGCAAGTAGAGCTTGCTTGTTTTTACACAATTTGCAAAATATTTTAATAAGAAATATCTAAAATATTTAATTTTTTTATTATTAATTTATTATTGTGTTATAAAATGTATTAAATTATAATATTTTTTAAAGGGCAAATTGAAAATATTTTCCATCTGGGCATTGGCAATAAAGATTCAAAACAATATCACTGACAAAGTTAACATTATAATGAACCATCAATCTAAATTTTTCAAAACAACTAACCACAGAGTTAAGGGATCAGTAAAATATCAATCTGTAAACATTATTTAGATTATAAATGAAGAGAATAAAAAAGGCATTATGCATGTGACGAAAAAGTGAGCGAGTTTACAGCACACTTCATACTTTGTAGAAATTTGGTGAATTAAACTGCACAATCCAAACGAAACGATGCTAATCAAAAGGATAAAAGTTGGCTCTCTATAGAAAAAAAAAGATTGATTTTATTTTATTTGACATTTTGCATTTATGAGGAAAAGTTTGGTTTGACACCTCTTCATTATGGATGTGACAGATGTGAAATTGCCACTTGTGAGACTTTGATAAATCAAATAGTTTGAAATCATTAACAGAGACATTTTTTTGAGTATTTTTAAAGTACTGTAAAATACTTTTTAGAAAAAAAATTTAGTTTCGCTATTTTGGTGAAAACTTTTTTGTGCCAAGGTTGACATTTTCACTGTATTACTTATTATATATGAACGCTGACAATTTATTGGCATGCTGAAATGATGTTTAAATTGTAGGTAAAAGCATAATTGACAAGGCTCACTCCACTTTAACTTCATAATTCAGATATTACAAAAGTAATTAAAGCATTTGCTGTGGTGTGAACAAGAGCTTTTGTGTGTGGGTGGAATGTTCAAGCATCTTGCTAATGAAAGTTATAACATTCTGGCACATGAACTTGAAATGTATATTTCTTAAATGATTTTCACCAGAAATATAATGCTGTAAAATCACAAAACAAACACAAATGTGATTAAAAGCATTAAAGGATAAGAGATAGAAAAGGAGGATCAAAGTGAAGTTTGGATCCTATAACAAATGAAAAGTCTGCAGCATCTATTAGTAAAATATGTTGTGCCCTCTCCAAAAAATGCTTAGATGTCTGTAATTCAAAACATATTAAATATATTTTAATATTCTTTTACAACCCTCATTTTGAATGCAAAATATGATTACATTTTAGGGATTTTAGTCTGGCTCCAATATTTTACAAGGAAGTCAGTCATGTGAAATATGTAACTATACAACCTCACTGTACAAGATTGATGACTGCTGAAAAACATTTCATAATAAGATCACAAGGCAGGCTGTAGGAGAAGTTGCCCTTATGACTTCCGGACAATGTGATGCAAGTTCAAACACTCCATTGAGATTTATATGATTTTTTAAATACTGTGTCCTGATCTCTGTTATTGACATCACTGACATAACCAAGTAATAACCAATTAATACCGTATTTTTCGTCTATTATCCACTACCTCAGAAACGGGATCAGATTCGTAGAGAATGTTAGCTGTAACTGACCAAGTGATGTATAAAAGGAATGATGCAAAACGTCCGAAAAGGATAATGTCATGTGATTACTTCAGAAATATACTAAGGCGAAGGACTTCTCATGAATATCAATTCCTTTATTAAGATATCGCCGGTATGATGGTCCAATCATCTGACTTAATTTACACTCCTGACCAACCCTTCAGCTTTTTTAACTGGCCACCTGACTTACGCTAACATGTCAACTTCTGTTCTCTGGCCAATCAGGTAAGGATACTCGCGGACTGTCTCGCTACGTCTTTAACTATCAGGACATGAGCCTTCACCATAGTATGACACGTAAATTCGATCCACGCTAGCACTTATTACATCTAAACGACATGTAAAGTCAGCTAATTGTATTACCGTCACAAAAGGTTAACCCTAGCTTTAACGTACTTTACTATGGTGAACACCACAGAAATAGTTATATTCTGCTAATAAACTCAAAACAGATCATGCGTGAAGTGGATGTGAAAACGACAAACAAGTTAATATTATTTCAAAATGAACAATACTGGACGATCTAACACATGCCAGAATCCTACAGGACAAATAAATACTGAAGTATGTCACATTTACAAAGTGATGCTGTAGACTGCTTCATCCGGGAGTCTCTCATTCATGTAATGGGCTAGAGCTATTATTGATCATTTAGAAACATTCAGCGTTGTTCTGTTAAATACTACGTACACACATGATACATTTAACATACGCGACTTATTTCCAAAAACATGTCAATTACCCTGTTTCATCCATCAAAGGGCCCAGTAAAGTTAGCAAAGCTAACGTTAGCTATCTGAACTAAAAACAACGCATCATGCAGAACATAACTGTTAGACGTACCTGTACCGTCGCTTTTTACACCATGTCTATGTCAGCCGTTCAGAGAGATGTCATTAATCCTTAGTGCACTTAACCAAAAGACATTTTCGGTTAATTCCACCCTTGTGATGTTCACTTGATCAGACCCGCTTAGTCGATCACAGAGAGGTCGAGCAGTGTTTTCATCGCTTCTCGTGATCGCAGAAGTCAGGCATTGTTAATCGATATAAAACGACAAATAAATATATTTCCATTTCAGGCTTTCATTTTTATGTATTGTATTTAATATTTCTATGCCATTTAAGCTTCTGAAGTACGATTGAGAAGTGTCTAAAGCATCTATTTTACATGAAAGTATTTAAATTATACGTTTTAATTGATTGTTCATTTATAACTGTCATCTTATTCAGTCATATTTTTTAGTTTTATGGTTTTGTTTAGGTTTAGATTTTGTTCAGAACCAGTATTTAGGTCTTATTTTAAAGGTTGTATCTGATTAAATGTACATACTATTAGGGCTATATATATATCGCTAGGGACAATATATCGCTTCAGCATCGATATTGCAATGTGTCTGCAAAAGTCACATCGCAGATTATGCAATGTCAAGGGATTATAGGTGATCAGCACAGCAGTTGAGAATACATGAGATTTGTGGAGTCATTGCAAAGTATAACCATAGCAGAGTAAATCTTTATCATTTGCATGTGTTTTAAAGGTATTTCAAGAGAATTTAAAGCAGTCGGCCACAAAAATGTACAACATTTGTAACTTTAAAGAAGAAGAGTAGTTTACTGAATTATTAATACAATGAAAAAAACTACACAGTGTTATTTTACATTTTATTATTCAAGTTCTGCACCTGAATACTGCTTGAGCCTCCAAAAACCATAAAGCACTGTTTATTTGACTTTTTTGTTTGACCTATTGTAATTCTTCTTGATTGCAATTGGTTTGATAATTTTATACATGATTCACACCCTTACAAAACCACCCCAATCAATCTGAATTTAAGATTGTTTTCCCCGAATAAAGCTATCTAAGCCATCTGGTGAAATTGCATTTATATCACAATATATATCGCTGAAAAACTAAATATTGCAATGTCAGATTTTTCCAATATTGTGCAGGCAATATACATGCAAATAATACTGACTGCAAGTAAAGGGTCCACTTTAATGTTTCAACTTAAACTTTTAAGAAAATGAAATCCCACAGCATTGGTAAAATATTGTTTTAAATAAATTCAACATAGCACATACATGCAGCCTATATAACCCGGAACCTTCTGATACTTATTATGTATGGTCTAAAAGAATAATTGATCATAGCTAAATTAGTTACAAATAAATAGGGGTTTAAAGGATTGTGGTGGAAATATGTAAAATTATAATTAACCTACTGTACTAATGGTTCTTTTAGTTCTAATTGTTCTAATTGAGGTAAAGTTAGGTTTATACTCACACATTCAGACTTCATCCTAAATAATATAATTTCAAAAAAGTATTCTTTGCACATTCTAAATGGGGAAGTCATATAAGCAGCCAAAGACTATTAAAGTACAACATTGTTCACATTCAAATATAGTGCTAATGTTGTTTTGAAGTCATACTTGCATGTGATTTCGAACAGTAGCATGGTAAACAATATAGGGAACATGTCACAAGTTGTCACTGAATGAATGTGCGAATATAAAACCACCTTTTACCTTAATCTTATTCTATGATATATCTGACAAAATTTGAGTGGGCATATTCTGTAATTTTTAGTTTAACCTTTTTTTTCTCAGAATAAAAAATGTAATCAAATAGAACACATTCTAAATAAAAGGAAATACAACAGAGCTGTAGTTATTTTATTGTTAAGATGTTTTAACAACCTGTTTACCCTATTTTACACAATTATAACTTCATTATTTAGTTCAAATAATATAAGAGGTCAAACTAGAAATTAGTTGTTAAAGTGAAAGCTCTGTCATCATTTACTCACCATTAACTTGGTCCAAACCTACTTGAGTTTCTTTCTTTAGTTGAACACAAACGAAGATTAGAACGAAGCAGAAATGTGGAAACTTCCATAAAATTAGTTTTTCATATATGAGTGGCAGTAGTGCTGTCGCCTCACAGCAAGAAGGGCACTGGTTTAAGCCACGGCTGGATCAGTTGGCATTTCTGTGTGGAGTTTGCATGTTCTCCCCGCGTTCACGTTGGTTTTCTCTGGGTGCTCCGGTTTTCCCCACAAGTCCAAAGACATACGCTACAGGTGAATTAGGTAAGCTTAAAAAAATTGAATAAGTTGACGGTTCATTTTTTTGTGTGGCAATAATAAAGGGACTAAGTCTAATAGAAAATGAATGAATGAATGGTCATTAGTTTCAGTTTTCTTCAATTTTTTTTTGTTGTGTGCTCAACCGAAAAAAGAATCTCATAAAGGTTTATAACCACTTGTGGGCGAATTAATAGTGAGTAAATTTTCATTTTTGGATGAACTATCCCTTTAATCTCTAATTAACTCAGAAGATTGGCAGAATACAGCGACACCTAGTGGGTATGATTTAGATTTGATTTACCAAATCAATAGTCCAGTATAAAGCGTGTTTACGAATCAAATCAATTAGACAGCATTTGCAGATGTAACATATGTTCACATTTCGTCTTCTCATCATCAAACTTCTTCGTTTCATTTCCCATGTGAACAGACGACTGATCCATCGTCTTATAGTCTGTTCACAGAGGTGGCAAGTAGGACCCCTTTAATAATGCAGAAAATGGGCAGAAACTCAAGTTAGTGTATGCATATTTTTAAACGAAGATGCATTAATATATGAATATGTATAAAATAAGTAACACAGAGACAAAAATGAGAAACATTTTAGTTACAATCTACTCACCTGTGCGCTGAAGAAACGCGGATATCTGCCTATGGCCTCCATGAGCTCCAGGTGCCTGAGCCACTGCTCCTGCCACGCCTGAACGCTGTAACGCGGCCTGCAGGTCGACAAACGCTGGAGGATGCGCTGATTCTCTCTGGTGATGTGGAGCAGTTCCAGTTGTCTTTTTTTCTGAGCCAAGACTGAAGCAAAAACATGAACGTGTTAATTAACAAATTAATTATAAGTTAATTCTATAAAAAGTTGCATGTATACCTTTTCTTCACATAAATATTTTTACAGTCAACGCCCCCTTTGGTCTGCATTATGTGGGACATTTTATGTAGAAGCATTTCGTTTTCTCTTTTGATTTTAGAAACCCGTTCTTCTTCAAGCTGTTTATGAAAGATGAAAGACTGAAATGGATTAACAATTACCAAAACAGTGTAAAAGTCGACATCTGGTGGTCGATCAGCAATCCTACCTGGCTTTTCTTCAACTTGACAAGTAGATGGCTGTAGGTTTTCGGCGGAGATGTGTTGATTGTGGGTTTCGCAGATTTAACCTTGAAATATTATAAATATGTTAACATTTTATGTAATTTTCGATTAAAACCAAAGCCTGAACACATTTAAAAAGCTGTAGATGATACACTGTCATTATATATACATTTAATGCATTTGATTAATGATTCATATCCTTTGCAAAAAAAAAAAAAAAAAAAAAACACATCGCCTGTGATACATGTGTCAAAAAAAAAAAAAAAAAAAAACTAAATCAATTAATAAAAATAAAAAAACATAATCAGATGTTTCAGATTTTACCTTGTCCCTGTGTATCTCATAGCAGTTTTTGTCCCATCGATATTGCAGATATTTATTAACACATGGCACGACGGGTTGGTAGGCTTGATGTTGCATTACTTGTCTTTAGTGTAGCCTAAATCCACCTGCTCCAGAAGTCACAATGAACAGAGATATGAGTTCAGCTTGAGTTTTGAGCCAGTCATGTGCTTGTTGCCATGGCAGCCATTCAGAAAGAAAGTGCAGCTTTGCTGGTCTACATTTATGAAATGATACAGGCACTGTAAATGGGACCCATTCATTCAGTTTGATGAGCATTCATTTTCCTAAATGCATCCTGCCTTCCTTTCGCCTCGTATCGAAACTTTCTTAAGAAGTTAAACCCAGCAGCTCCATTAAGAGGGCACCCTCAGCCATTTAAAGGCTGGCCTACATAGTGTCCTTGTCCGATATGAATTTTCTGTGTCCTGCAGGGCTCTGTTGTTTTAGTAGAGCGGCATGCGTGGACAAAACTGGAAGCGCTTAATATACAGTGAGCCCAACTGAATTTAAGCATATTTTTAATCTTGTGTAACCTTTTAAGAGGTGGCACAGATCTTGTTTGTGTCCATGTGCAGGCAAAGACTAGTGTGATGTTTTAATTTCTATCCCAAGGACGGTGAGAGTGGAGATTGCTACCTTCCACTGTCTTTAAAGTGTGATTCATTTGACACCTTGCAGAGCAAAACCTAAACCAGAGACCAAGTATGAAATTTCTGCATGCTCGTAATATAATAAGCAGGGTATCTGCTGGGTCTTAAAAAGTCTTAAAATGTCTTAAATTTCAAAAAACAAATTTTAGGCCTTTGAAAGTCTTAAATCCACTGAATTATTGTGTATGTCAATGGTGGAAATAGTACAGAAAAATCGCACTTAAGTAAAAGTACCATTACTTACCTAAAATGTAGTGCAAGTAGAGTAAAAGTAACTTGTAAATATTACTCAAAATATGAGTGCAAAGTAGACACTTTAAAAGTACTCAAGATTAGTGTGTATTACGCTGTTAAAAGCTGATGCGTTTACATGTAATTTGTACATGTGTGTGTAAACGTAACATTCTGTAGTGCATTTAGTTATTGGCCAGCAGGCACACAACGTCATAAGAGGTTAATATTAGCTTAGATTTAGGTTGTGATGTCAGGTGACCAAAATTCAACGTCTAGCCAGCATCTAATGACAACCTTATTTTGATGTCCAATAATGACCTCAAATGACGTTGATATTTGGTTGATTTTAGATTGTTAGAGAGTGGCCAAAATCCAACGTTGAGCAAACATCTTATTGATGTCAAATGCTGAAATTTATTCGTCAGGTTTGGTAATTAAAATCCAACATCTGATAGACGTCATAGTGGCAACGCCCACACAACATCAAGCTGTAACATCATTAGACGTTGATATTTGGTTAGTTTTAGGTTGGCCTGACGTTGATTTCTGATGCTGGACACCTTGGACACTGTTAATGCTTCCAAACAGTTTGCTGCAATTATAAAGCACCCATGTCTTGAGGTACTTTATTATGATGTGATTTACTTTCTACAGTTTGCGCGATTTAATTGGACAGGAATCACAGGACTGATTTTTCTGATCTCAAATAGACAGGAAAAAATAAAGTAGTGACTGCAGGTTGAAGGAAATAGTGGAGTAGAAGTACTAAAATGTACTCAAGGGAAAGTAAAAGTACATTTTAAAACTACTTAGTAAATTACAATTCCTGAGAAAAAATACTCATATAATTTGAGCATTTGTTATTAGCTTACACCACAGGTTGTAGGTCTTCAATCATTTTAAACAAGTCTTAATCCATGTCCATGTAAAGCTATATTTACAACAGCAATCCAATCACTAACAATATATTTCAATAAATGTTTTAGTAAAGTTTTCAATAAAAGCTTTACTTATTAATATCATGGTTTAAGTTTTTTCCTTACAATAACATTTGTTTTTTATGTTTTTAAAAGGTTTTATCTTGTACATTAAAAAAGTAGTAGCCTTTAGCCTTGTGCAAGTCTGAAATTTCATTCTTTATGATCTTAAAATGATCTTAAAAAGTCTGAAATTTGACTTAATGAAGCCTGTAGGAACCCTGATAAATCATGTTTTACTTTTATATAATTTACATATTTTTGTAATATATCATTATTTCATTATAATATATAGAATATATTTTCATTATAAAATAATTTCATTATTTTTTTGTAATATAAATGAAATATTTCATTAAATAAATGGAGACATGATATACTTTTACCAGGCTTTACAGAAGACACCCACTAAATATGGCACTTAGTGTAATAGCACATAATCATATAATAAGTTCATATAAGTTCATATAATGCTTAGGGCATCACGGTGGCACAGTGGGTAGCACGATCACCTCACAAGAAGGTCACTGGTTTGAGCCCTGGCTGGGTCAGTTGGCATTTCTTTGTGGAGTTTGCACATTCTCTCGTGTTGGCGTGGGCTTCCTCCGGGTGCTTCGGTTTCCCCCACAAGTTAAAAAAATGCAGTATATGTGAATTGATTAAGCTAAATTGTCCATAGTGTATGTGTTTGAATGTAAGAGTGTCTGAGTGTTTCCCAGTGTTGGGTTGTGGCTGGAAGGGCATCCACTGCGTAAAACATTTGCTGGATAAGTTGGCGGTTCATTCTGCTGTGGTGAACCCGGATTAATAAAGGGAATACACTGAAAAGAAAAATGAATGAATGAATGAATGAATAAACTTTAGTGCAATAACTGGTGGTTCATCCCGCTGTGGCAACCTCTGAAATAGAGACTATAAAGCCGAAGGAAAATTAATGAATGATTTATTTTTTTTAATAAGCACAGGTCAGAATAATTACACACTTTTAACTTTCAAATATATCTGTTATGACCTATGATAATGGATCACAAGTATTTCACAGGAAAACGTATTGATTTGTATATAAATTCTCCTTGTTTTTGTTTTGTTTAACCAATGAAACTCATTTATTTTTTCCTCTTATTTTCCTGTTTACTTCTCCCTCAGTATCACTTTTCAGTTAGTGACTTTACCATTCTGAAAATGACATAATTAGCTTCCTTTATGTTGTATAAAGAGCAAGAAAAAGTGCATTTTACTTCGAGGATTTAATATAATGCCTTTATAGTAATGGAGTCGACAACCTGACAACAGTTGCTTAGCTACTTGTGTGCCTCTGTTGTACCAGTGCGGTTCATGTAAACACAACCTCTACTGAACCGTACTCAGTATGTCACTCCAAGCAGAAGTGATTGTGTTTACATAATGATTAAAAAAGTGCAAATCGTTCTCTTGACTTTTAGTTTAGATAGCAGTGAGTCATCTTCTGGCCTTTTCTTCAGAAATGTCATATTTGCGCAGGTTTATGAAATGTTACAGTATTGAGAGTGGTTAACGTAGATCGCTGGATGATCTGAAATGTGCAACTTCACTTGTAGATGAACAGGAATCTCTATGTATTAAGGAAGAAATTATTTGTGTGATGTTATAAAATTTTGAGCTCTAACAAACATCAGTTATCTGTTAAATACTGTAGTTGTCACATCTCTCAAACAAATGTCTTTCCTTGTGACATGTTCATCTGGTTTCTTGGTATATGATGATGTCTTTCAGTATTAGTCACTCATTTTCCACTGAGGTCAGAGTTTATTATCTTGAAAATGGCTTCATGATTTAATCACTCACTGGCAATAAAATGTTACATGTCTAATTTGTAGCTTAGGTGAATAATGACACTGCCCAGACTGCTGCTAGCAGTATTACAAGATGGCAACGCTCTCAGGAGACAGTGACGCCTAGATAGTGCACATTCTGTTTAGCATGTTTCTTAAAGGAACAGTTAATTCAGAAACAACAATTCTGTTATGATTTGTTTACTTGTTGTTTTAAACCTGTATAAAAAGTAGTATATCTAAATAGTTATCTAAAATAGTATATATAGTAATATATAAAAGTTATATATGATATAATTTTAATATTTTTTTCGAGCTGTTCCTTTAAGATGTTCTTTCATCCGGTAGATTTGTTGTTTGAGTGTGTAAGTTATTTTTATTATGTCTAATTTGTAGCTTAGGTGAATAATGATGCTGTCCAGTCTGTTGCTAGCAGTAATACAAGATAGCAACGCTCTTAGGAGACAGTGACACCTAGATAGTGCACTTTCTGTTCAGCGTGTTTCTTAAAGAAACAGTTGATTAAGAAACAACAATTCTGTTATCATTTGTTTAATTGTTGTTTTAAACCTGTATGAATGCTTGAATAATGTTATAATGTTAACTGTTCCTTTAAGATGTTCTTTCAATTGTTGTCTGAGTGTGTAAGTTATTTTATTATCAGCACTGTATGAGACAAGTAGACTGTAGACAAGTCATGTGCAATGTTGCCATGACTGCATAATTTTATATCTGTTTGCTTGGATGCTCTATGTTGTTGCTAGGACATTGTTAGGTGTTTGTTTATTAATGAAAATAGCAGCATTCTCTACTTGTGGCAGTGGATGATGTTGTTTCTTGTCTACCTGGGAGAGTAGAACAAGTTACACTTTAATCCCCATTCAAACTACCAGCGACACGCAGGGTTGTTACTGGAAAGGATACAGCTCCTGCTGGAAGTTCATTCATTCATTTTCTTTTCGGTTTAGTCCCTTCATTATTCTGGGGTTGCCAAAGCGAAAAAAAAAACAAAAAAAACGCCAACTTTTCCAGCATATGTTTTATGCAGTGAATGCCCTTCCACCTGCAACCTATCACTGGGAAACACCCATACGCTCCCTTTCACACATGCACTGACTACAGACAATTTAGCCTACCCAATTCACCTATAGCGCATGTCTTTGGATTTGTGGGGGAAGCGCGAGCACCCGCAGGAAACCCATGCAAACACCGGGAGAACATGCAGAAATACAGAAAAGCCAACTGACCCAACCGAGGATTGAACCAGCAACCATTTTGCTATGAGGCGACTACCTACTGGGCCACTGCTTCACCATGCTGGAAGTTAGCAATTTCTATTATTTATACAATTTATTTATTATTAACAATTCCCTGCCCCAACTCTAAACATATCCCTCACAATAATGTCAAAATTGTTGGCTAGTTAATGTTGACCTGTGTCACAAAATTCATCTTGTATTGATGTTAGCGAACATCAAGTTAG